ACTGAATATAACTTGAACTGGACATAAACGACACCGAACCAGACTAAATAACGTTTATTTCAGTTGAAAAATATATTAAAACCGAACTAAACAAACCAAACCGAAAAAGTAACGATTTGCCCACCCCCCTACTACATCCTAGAGATTTGCTCAAATCTTGTCTCAGCATTGAAACTCTCACTTGTTCCACTAACTCCCACATTTGAACTCAATAGATACTCATATCTCAGCATTATACTATATTTTTATACCCGCACATGGTGCGGGTGGGTCACCTAGTTTTATGTTAAAACTGTGAAATTACATATTCGGTAAAATTAAAAAAAAAAATTCAAAGTATACAATTTTCATATTTTAGACCCGTGGCTAATCCATTTGGTTATAATTTTATTTGAATTTGGTCTTACGTGAACATTGTTTTGTTTGGGTTAAGACCACCCATGATTACAAAATGAGATTGTCTAGTTGCATAAGCCCATTTAGAAATGGACATATCATTTTAGACAGTCCAACTGACATCTCTAGTTCTACCCACCAACTAAGTGGATGCATCATGAGATTGAGGGGAAAACACATTTGCTACAAGGAAATAATTTTTTTATCACAACAATAAAAATCTCTGAAGCTATTGTTTCTCTACTACTAGTAAAATCAATGTAAACAGCTATTGAACAACCATTGTTATTCATGGCTATAGAAAAATAAATAGTGGTTAATTATTTCCATAGCTGCAAAAAATTTCTGTATAATCACAGATATTTGCAATATGATATTTTTCAAAAAAACTAAGTTTTTGCGTTTTTTTGTATATTTATTGGGCTTGTTTGCCAAATCATCAGAAACGGGTTATCATATATTTAGTGGAAGATTAAAGAGATATAAGAAGAAAAATGAAAGGAAAAATTGTATTTTTGGTTAGATAGTGAATTTAGAGTTTTTTGTATAAAGTAACGAATTTCTTTTTCTGAAGAGGCTTTAACGTGCATTCATTAATCATCCAAATTTATTTTAAAGATTCTTTTTTCTTTGGCATTCTTTTTATCAGAAAATTTCCAATGTTGAATTCTTACTGCTAAAACTCTAGTTTCAACTGATTATGCCACTAGAGCGACTTTTATTTTCTGTATATGGATTCCCCTGAACGCGACCTCACAAATCTTAAATATAAATGAACTCATTAGGGACTCTCAGAGATGAAGCCACAATATAAACTAAGAGGTCTGTGTTGTGCACCATTAATATTTCATCTTAAATTCTTGTATATGAAATCATTAAAACTATATAAGGTAAAAAAGGTAAAATCTATACCAAAAAAAAAGTAAATTTATCAAGTGCATTCCTAATGTTTCTACTCTCAAAGTTCACATCTTTCTTTTAGTTATTTTATTTTTAATCAATAATGCACCCAATACCATAAAGTTAGATTTGCCCCTGGAGATTCTGGCACATTTTGTTTACATTTGGATGATTTTATTTACCATTTGAAGAGATGATAGGCAAAAAAAGAAAGGATGTCAGCTTTTCTGAGACTTACTACTACTATATAAAAAGCAATTTGACCTTAGCAAGAATAACAGGTAAATGTACACATAAGCATGGATGTTTTTTTTTAACTATAAACATAGATAATTCTGCAAACGATAATAGTTTGGTAGGGAAAATGAGAAACCATAATCACAAAGAAATCTGAAATGGAATAATTTATTTTCTTTTACTATTCCCGTTTAGGCCGCAGGCTTTAAACCCATTTTAACAGGCACGGAAAAAAAAAGTAAAAGAACTTTTAAAAATTAGTCTTAAGATGAATCTTACATGACTCCAAGATCATTCATGAAGCAGCTGCTAAATCTCTTTACTAATGAGTTGAGTTGAGTTGGTGATATGAAGAATAGCAATGTTCTCAAGCCACTAGCTCATTCTCTCCCCATAATTTTCCTCTCTTGGGTCGTTCCATTCATAGCCGTTGGGCTGTATGCAAAAAAAAAGCCCAAAGCAATCAAATGACGTGTCCATGTTTCCTAAACTTGACCTCAATATCTAGAGAAAAGATAGCTGCTTAATTAAATGAAAAAATTGACAAAAAAAACCACGAATTGTCAAACAAGCCATTTTATATATCAACTATTGGTCAAACACGAAAAAATCACATATTATCGTTGACCAAGTCATTTTATACATGTTGAAAGTCAAATTGTTAACTTCGTTAATGAATAGTTAACATTGACTTTTAACACGTTTAAAATGGCTTGGTCAACGAAAGTATGAGATTTTATTGGTTCTACTTTAAAAGTTAAAGATTAAAATTGCTTACCAAAGTTTAAAAATTTAATAATGTTTTAAAAATAATTTGTCAAATAAAAATTTTCTTTTGACTTTGATAATATGCAATATACTATATATATATATATATATATATCAATGAATTTGATAAATAAATTCATTTTTATTTTATGTAGCCGTCTCATCTTAAATTATTCTATTAATGTTTAAGGTCAAATAAATTAAATAGAAGGTTATAAGTGATCAATCCAAAATAAATGGATATAAAGTTTGATGGATTATCTTAAAAAAAATTCTATTTTTATTTTATGTAGTAGGGTCATGTTTAATTCTTCTATTAGTGTTTAAGGTTAAATAACTGATCAGAAAGTTATAAAAGACCAATCCAAAATAATTAAGACTTGTGTGTCAATTGACAAGTGAAGAAATGAGAAGTTGAAAGAGGATGATTCTGGTGAAATTGTAAACTTTGATTTCAACGCTAAAGAATTCATAATGATCTTCTTATGATTATGAACACAAAGCTATAAGGGAAAATTAGTGAATTAACCACATTCCGATGAAATCAACTAGTTATCATAGATTATCTTAAGAACAATCACAACACAAGCATGACTACATGTTTAGAATAGTTGTTAGGTGTTTGTAAATATAGTCTTATTTATTTTAGATTGATCACTTATAACCTTCTATTTAATTTACTTAACATTAAACATTAATAGAAAAAATAAGATGAGACTACTACATAAGATCAAAAATGAATTTATTTATCAAAACCATTGACATATATAGTATACTAGGGCCGGGCCGCGCTTCGCGCGGCGAGTGGATTTGTTAAGTATTCGACATGATTTTTTTTTAAGTTTCAAAAAAGTAGTTATATATGAAAAATCGCTTTATATGGAATTTCAGTATTGAATTTCAAAATCATTATAGTTAAGTAAATTGTGTGATAGATGATTAATCTTCTATTTTTTTATAAAATATGTATCATTTGTTCTCTCGTATCAACTCTCTTAAATATTGTTTTTGTGTGTTTGAATTAGACCAGTTAAATTAATCTTTTGAATTTTTTTTAAATATTCTTAATCAATATAGTTAGTTAAATATATTGACACAGCTTTAAAGTTTTCTAATATTATATATTTATAGTGATTTTAATAATGATTTTTTAAATGTGACTATCTAACATATATTTTATATTTTAGTAAAATTTATATGAAGTTTAGTTTTGATTATATTAAGTATGTTTATTTTAATGCCTTAGTAAAAAANATTCATTGTTTTTGTTTGTAAATCAAAATTTTGTCTTAGGCAAATCCATTTTTTTGTATTTATTTGTTTTTTTGTTTATATATACAGTGAGGAGGAATGAACAAAAATTAATTGAATTTTAGTTATGGTGTTTAATTGGTTGAATTGTAGACATGTTTTATTTCACTTAGATCTATTATAACTTTTCTTTCCGATTAGTCTCTAAGTAATTTAGTAAACCCTCCCCCTTAAATCTACAATCCCATATTTCTATGATTTTTTTTTACTTAAATCAATTGTTTAAAATTGTAATATTATCCATATTCAAAAACCTTACAGTTACATACTAAATTCTTACAAAAAATTACTACAATTACAACCCACGTAATCGGACCTATTGCCTAAATATTATTTATTTACTTATATAAGTTTTGATGTAAAATATTGTTAAATGTACAACCAATTAAATTTTGTTTTTTCAGTCGTTGCCTTCAGCTTTTCAGTTGTTTGATTTGTTCAAAAGGGCAAAGCATATGTCTCTTATATGCTTCTTATCTTTTATAAACTTTACTATAAAAGTAGATTTTAGATTTTTTCAATAAAAGTAGATTTTAACTTTTTTCGATAGATATTAGCCACTTACAGAGAACGTCCGGTGGTAGTGGTACTAAACGTGGTCAGACTCACTGCTAAGGCACTAATTTTTTATAGCAGTGCTAATGATTCTTTAAATCGAAGGTTTGACATAAGTTCAATCAAAGATTTAAAAACATTATCTTTTGCTTTGAGAGCTGTTCGGATGGTTTGATCAATGGATTCAAACAATGTTATATTTCAGCAGATTTTGATTTTTTTCAAATATGTTATGATGGAATTTAAAATATATCATTCATAAAATATGAATTGATGTTAATTTTTTTCTTCTCAACACAATAATGTTAACTAAACAATTTTAAGAGCAAATTGATCGCTTGGCTCGCCTATCTCCAGCAGGAGGGTGACCTTGTTTGTTACTAAGAAAACTGATCACTCAAGGAACATTCTTATCTTCTCTGGAAAAATAGGAAAAAACGGGTTACACTCATGCGTATCTAAACCTCAGGGTACTACCTTTGCTCACATTGACAGGCTGACCCGGAAGATCCTTTACAAAGGTTAGGATGTGCCACTCTCCTTTCAGTCTGGTTAACTTATAGCTAATATATGTTTCTCATACTGATTTTCACGCTTAGCTTCCCACTTTTTTTTTGCCAACGAAGCTCTCTGCACCTAGCTTGTAACAAACATTTACTTCTGATAATATAATTTACATATTATCAAAAAAAAAGCAGATAAGATATTTTACCCATGTGTGTTCTCGGTTCTTTCCATCTCATCTTTGATGAACCCTTGCAACTATAAAGAATCAAATCAAANGCAGCAAACTGTCTACGATCTCCTTTATGCTGACTTCCAGAGGCACAAACTCAACTCCCAAGAGACTCTGCTTTCTCTTTAGACACTTTGTATGTTGGAATATATATTTTCTCATCAGCACACCTGAAAAAAAAGGAGTCTTTCAAAGTTCTTGTCTTTAATTTTAACAATTTGTATAAAACAAAAATAGAGCTGCTCTGTTTTTGACATCAAAAGAAAGACTTACTTCTCAGAAAGTAGAAAATCAGGGTAAAGATCATGCAAGATGTTAACAACTTCAGAGTAGTGATCAACTCTTTCCACTAAACAGTATCTTCCATTAGCTTTTGGATTCTCAAACGCTCGAATGTGAGCGTTCGCTACGTCTTTAACGTTAACCACCTGAATGTTGCATTAGGAAAAGTTTGTGCTCCTGAAAATGTAAATCAATGTTCAAGCTTAGTAATTGTCTGAATCAAACCAATACTTGTATCCTTGTGATAATAAACGTGTGTTCCTGACGGTGCATTAAGAAACAAACGCCCTACACAATGAAAGCTTGATGAAGGTATTAAGAAAATTCAGACCTGTAATTTTTATCTTATGGCGGACTGATTAATCAAAGGAAGCAACTAAATACCTCCTACCATTTTGGGTTAATGCTTGTAGCAATAATCACCTTTGGATCACCACTTATGGCTTCAAGTTTCTTATGAAACCAAACAGCTTGAGCGTCAAACAAACTCAAAGTCACTGAAACATCATTGCTAGATGAAACAAACTCAAATTCACTGATACATCACTGCCAGATGAATAAAAAGTTTGATACTTGGTTATTTGAATTGTTTAAAACAATATGATAAAAACAATATGATAAAACCGTTTGATTCTGATATCTGACAACCAATACAGAGCAATAAATGAATCTATAAAACTCATGAACAGTACTCAATGATCATTTCAAAAGACTGGTTCACGCTTTTGCCCCTTTAAACCGATCAGAATCAAGGTTTCAATTTTAATTCGATACTTCACCTCACAAACATCACTCTCATGGAAGAAGGAAGAGTTTCGCACCTGTGACCAAACACCATCCTGCAAACGCGCTCGATCCCGTACCCCCGGCGCGTGTTCTCTCATCGTAACCGACGTTTCCATCACCGACGGAGGTCTCGTAGCGAAGTGGATCTTCAGGCCCGCTTAACGTAGTCTTTATCCGAGACGGCGACGAACGAAGTCGGTAAGGCAACCTAATTGCCGATGGCGAGGATGAGCTTTGTCTGTTAGTGGACTGGGAAATTTAGCAACTCGTTTGTGATCAGAGGCGACGGAGAACCCCAAGAGCCACAAGTCGGCGCAGAAAAAACACAACTTTTAGGTTATCAGTAAACGTAAACAGGCCAGTGAATTGAGACAAAGCCTAACATTAATGGGAAGGAAACAGATAGATTAGAGGCCCATGTAGGCATGTCCACGTGGACTTAATGACATGGCGCCTATGTGGACAGCCTTAGAGGGAAGGAAGCTTTGCTTTATATAATAGATTGCATATTATCAAAGTCAAAAAAAAAAATTGTATTTGAAAATTTATTTTTAAAAAAGTTATAATTTTTTCAAATTTTGGTAAGTCATTTTTATCTTTAATTTTTAAACTGGAACCAATAAAATCTCATACTTTCGTTGACCAAGCCATTTTAGACACGCCAAAAGTCAACGTTAACTATTCAATAATGCAGTTAACGATTTAACTTTCAACATATTTAAAATGGTTTGGTCAATGATAATAAGTGATTTTTTTGTGTTTAACCAATAATTAATGTATAAAATGGCTTATTTGTGAATTCGTAGTTTTTTGGTTTAAATTCGAAATTTTATGGGTTTTTTGTCAATTTTCCCTAACTAAATAGGAGCCAGGAGAAAACAGAGCATGGGGTTGTTTAAGTAACAATTGAAAGTCTCAGTGGTAAATCTGCAAATTAATAAGTAATTCAGGGATTTAGCCAAAACGAAAAACATCTTCTCCTCTCGGCTTTGCTCAGCCACCAGACACCAGACAGGCACTTCTTTTCTCTTCATGAACTCGATTTCTCCATTACCCATTCTATAAAACATCCTTTACAAAACATGTCCACCACATTGTTCAGAACAATCCAACCAAACCACTTCACACTTCTCGGAACCGCCTTGTTCAGAACCAGAAGAACGACCCGTCACATCTCCGTGAGATGTCTCAACCAAACCGCAACAACCCAGGAACCAAAACCCTCCTCTCAACCAAGAACCGCACCAAAAAACCACGGAAGCAACAAGCTTGACGAGATTCTCCGAGACTACGAAGCCGTTATCGGGATAGAGACTCATGTCCAGCTCTCCACATCCACAAAAGCCTTTTGCAGTTGTCCCAACAGCTACGGGTCGCATCCAAACACGAGCATATGTCCTGTCTGTATGGGTTTGCCTGGCGCTTTGCCTGTTTTAAGTTCGAAAGTTGTTGACTTTGGTGTTAGATTGGGTTTAGCTTTGAACTGTGAGCTCTCTCTCAAGTCAAAGTTTGATAGGAAGCAGTATTTTTATCCTGATTTGCCTAAAGGCTATCAGATTTCTCAGTTTGATATCCCAATTGCATCTGGTGGTTATGTGGATGTGGATATTCCTCTTGAGTTTGGTGGTGGACATAGGAGGTTTGGTATCACTAGGGTTCATATGGAAGAAGATGCTGGCAAGTTACTCCACTCAGACTCTGGAGATTACTCTCAGGTAGGACTGAACTTAATCCAAACTATATATTCCCACTTTTAGGATGTGATACAAATTAGAATCGAAACGATGTGTTATATGATACTAATTAGAACCGGAACCCGCCCATGCCTACTTTCAGGCCTGAGAATTTTAGTTAGATTTGGTTTCAGGGGTTTAACTAGAACCTGCAAAGATGTTTATTGTAGTTATGTTTGGTTGTTCTTATGGTGCAGGTAGATTTGAATAGAGCAGGGGTACCTTTGCTTGAGATTGTGTCTGAACCTGACATGAGAAGTGGGATAGAAGCAGCTGAATACGGTAGTGAGATGCAAAGGATTGTGAGGTATTTGGGAGTGAGTAATGGGAATATGCAAGAAGGCTCTCTTCGTTGTGATGTTAATATCTCAATCCGTCCCATTGGGCAAGCTGAGTTTGGCACCAAGGTCAACAAGTTGTTTCTTTCCTTTGACCAAGTGATCATAAAGTCATGGCATTTTCATGTTATCTAGTTGATGATTCAGAGTTTTATTATGTTGTTGTACAGGTGGAAATAAAGAACTTGAATGCGTTTTCAGCTATGAGTAGGGCAATTGACTATGAGATAACAAGACAAGCACTTCTATACAACCAAGGTCAAGCCGACCAGATTGTAACCGAGACTCGTCTTTGGGACGAAGGAGCTCAGGTTCTTTCACTAAGCTGCAATATTTATACATCTGTTCTTCTTTGATCAATTTCATCATCAACTAACTTTTGAGTATATATGTTCAGAAAACAGTGACAATGAGGAAGAAAGAAGGGCTAGCTGATTACCGCTACTTTCCAGAACCTGATCTTCCAGAAGTGATACTCGCCCAAGAATACGTTGATAGCATCCGTGCTTCTTTGCCGGAACTTCCTGAAGCGAAACGCAGGAGGTACGAGGACATGGGTCTAGGTATTCAAGATGTGCTTTTTATTGCCAATGACGTCAGTGTAAGTCCTATTTGCTCAAGAAGGAAACTACCAGTGAGAGCAAAATAGTTAAAACTTTCTTATCATTGTTGTTGGAATGAATGGTCTCTCTTAGGTTGCAGAATATTTCGATGAAGTCATTAGTAAAGGTGCTGATGTGAAGTCGGCAGCAAATTGGCTGATGAGTGATATTGCTGCTTACTTGAAAAATGAGGAACTTTCTATAAATGATGTTAAACTTACTCCTCAAGAGTTGGCTGAGTTGATAGCTGCAATCAAAGATGAAACCATTAGCGGAAAGATTGGTAAACAGGTCAGTTCAGTATAAAAATGTATAATCATTTTTTGTTTGTTTGGATCAATACAATATAATTCCAGTTTTTGGCAGATACTGTTTGAGCTGTTGGCCAAAGGTGGAACTGTTCAAGGACTGATAAAAGAAAAGGACTTGGTTCAGGCAAGTTCATGCAATTTTCCACAAAATGTGTTCATCAAAGGCGTTAGATCTTGATTAATACATAGCTAATGTTTGTTTATGTGTGACATATGCTGTAGATAACCGATCCTGTGGAGATTGAGAAGATGATTATGAAGGTGATCTCTGAATCCCCAAAGCAACTTGAGCAGTACCGAAGTGGGAAAACCAAGCTTCAAGGCTTCTTTGCTGGCCAGGTACCATCAGCCTTTTGCTTGAAACTTTTTAACAATTAGTTTCAAACTGATGGTGTTAATGCTTTGTTGCAGGTAATGAAAATGTCAAAAGGTAAAGCGAATCCTGCTTTGCTTAACAAGATTCTCCTGGAGAAGCTCAATGCCAAGGAGTGATTAAAATGTTGATTAAGACACACAAAATTGCAGATGAGATTAGTGAAAGTGTTGTGAGTTAAAATTGTTCTTTAGAGATTTTTGTTGAAATTTTTAGTTTCACAGAATGTTGTAATGGCAATACAATGCACATTGAATTGGTTCAAAATTATTTTGTTTGCATATGGAATAAAAGCTGAGATTTTGAACTTTCCAGTTGAAATGGAAGCAGCAAAATAAAGACTCAACTCTCACTAAAGAGTTAGAAAAGGAACAGAGAACCTAGATGACTTAGGGAGGACATAAGTGATATATTCATGAACTAAAAATGTGACCTGAACCATCAGCTGACGTGAACGTCTGAGACTTTCAGTTATGCTTTCAGCATCAGATGTCGCGCCAGCATTTGTTCTACAAACAACCAACAACGTTCAATTCACAGAAACTAACAGAGAGCTATTAGTTTTTAGTGTAGGATTGTTTACCTTTAACCAATAAGCAAAAGACAGCAACACAAGTAAAATCTTACTACCATATCAACAAAGATAATCAAATTAACAGGAGCACAAACAAAGTTAGACTTACAGTCGTTTACGTCAGAGTTCAGTGGACTCCTGTTCCACCACCAAGGAGAAGCTCCCTCTACAACCATTGTAAGCTCACTCTTTTTCTTGAACTCCTACACCCAATAAAAGCCCAATCGGAGATCCTATTTGAAATGAAGATCAACGTCACTCGAGCAACAATTGGTCATGTTTGGGTCCTACACGTACCATCCTCACAACAGTTTGCTGACATTTTTACAAAAGGCCTCCACTCTCTGATGCTTCTACTGCAGGGGAGTGTTAGAAAATATACAATTAGATATATGTAAATATCTTTGTGATACACTTAGATACTGATAGGTCATAAATATCAAACCGAATGAAGTCAATCCTAACCATCATCCCAAACCGAAGTTTTCAGAACCGGTGTTCTGTTCTTTTATTTATTTAAGCTTTTGTTTCAGTTAAATAATGAGAATGAGTGTTCTTTATGTTGAAGAAACAACCTTCTCCATTTTCCACTTTCATGTACTTGCAGGAGATGATGTCTCCACCTTTTCTTCTTGTATTTGTTTCTATATAAATCAATGAAAAGCCAAAAAGAGGCAAGAATGATTTGCCCAAATGTGTGTGTATGTTTCTCTATAACTTGTTCTAAAGCTGTGATTTGACGAGATCACACCTATCAGATACTCTCTAGAACCCTCTATTGTATCCTATATATTCTTCTCATTATACTCACGGAGTTTACGAACTTGCATTCGATATGTATTATCAGATGCATGATCAGAAAACATGAGACTGTGACTTCTTGTGTTTGGGTTTGATCGCTGATGAACTGTGAGTTCTCTGTAATGATTGCTACAGAAAAGTCACCAATGTTGCAGAGTCCATCTTCGAGAGTGTTGACCACTTTGATTCTTTCACTCTTTTGTAAATACCTGCTTGTCATTGTCATTTACAGGGGTGGGCACGGATCGGATATCCGGGTTTTTTAAGGTATTTGTGATTTGATTCGAATGTTGCGGATATCTAATTTTCGTATTTGCTTTGCTTCGAAAAAATACGGATATCCGGAAAAACGGATATCCGGAAAATAAATAGATATTTGCGGATATTTACGAATATTTACGGATATCTCATCCATTTTGATTAATACAAATAATCTTAAGATTTTGATACAAATTTGCTTTGCAAAAATATTTTTTTGCATGATATATAAAATAAAAATTAAAAGAACAAGCAAATTTACATATTTTGTAATTTTTTTAAGTTTGAGTTACAATTATAATAACACAAAATTTAAGGAAAAAAATATAATTGTCATAAATTTTTTCTCTCTTTTATGTAATACTTTTATATAAGTAATAATGTGAATAAAATTGTTCAAAATCATGTGCTAGAATAATAATTATATAATTTTATACATTTAAAAGTTCAAATATAATCAAGATATACATATATTTATATATTTACGGATCGGATCGGATATCCGCTTCCCAAAATTTTAATATTTGTGATTTGCTTCGATTTTACCGGATATTGAATTTTAGTATTTGCTTTGATTCGAAAGTTTACGAATATCCGGAATTTTCGGATCGAATCGAAACGAATAACGAATCGAATCAAATATAACGAATAAAATACTCAGCCCTAGTCATTTATATCACTTCTAGCTAAAGAATCTTTCAAGCTAATGATAGTTCCTAGAAGAAATCATATTCGAAAATTACATACCACTAGAGTGAATTTTATTACAAACGTCTAGATAGTCTTAATAGTGGGATTAACATACAGAAGAGGATATTACAAATCAGAGGATGTCTGTAAACATGTCAGATTCCTTTTTGCGATAAAGTATCTTCCCAAACATGTCTTTCAGCTTCTCATGGCGAATCATCTCGTCAAGAATTTTATCTTCAGAGCCAACTTCGTTTTCGACCAGCTTATCCTTCTCGTTGGTAGAAGAGAAGACCATTTCAGATATGCGATGTTTCTCGTTTTGCTTACAATACTTGTCCCACTCAGTTGTGCCTTTAACCATGAGATGGTAAGTGTACACGACCTTCTTCTGACCAATCCTATAAGCTCGACTTATGGCTTGCCTCTCAACAGAAGGGTTCCAAACAACATCAAGGAGCACAACTCTCGAAGCTCCGACAAGATTAATACCTTCGGAACACGCTCCTGTTGATGCTAGTAGCACTTTAGATTTGCTGTCTGGTTTGTTGAAGTTGTTGATCAGACGCTGTCTGAATTTTTGTTGGAGTGCTCCATGCATATATAGAATCTCTTCTCCTTCACTCCAGCCAAACACTGCACTGAGCTGGTCTCTGATCAGTTCTAGAGTGTCTAGGTATTGGCTAAACACTAAGACTTTCTCTTTCAATGTTTCACTGAGCCGGATGAAGTCGATCAAGAACCTCGTTTTCGCACCTTCCTTTGAGTCAAGTGTAAGGCTCTCCAGGTTTTTCAGTACTAGTGGCCCAATGGTTAACTGCTCCTGTTTTGTCTGCTTGTAGCGCAGATACAGAGATGGGTGTAGCGAAACAGATGAAAGCTTGTGCTCAATCTCAAATGTACTTTGAGGATGGTCGATTCTAGTGAGGATTTTCTCCTGTAGAAAAGGAGCGTTCAACACCACAACACAGCCTCTTAGACCTGGAAGGCTCTCTCGAAGGATGTTTCCTTTATGGACATGGACAAAAGGAGCAATCATATCTTTAAGCTCCACGATTCCAATCTCTTCATACTTTCCTTCTTGGGTCAGCCTTGTAAGATCATGGAGCCTAGAAGATATCTTATCTGCATAAGCTGGTCTCGTCAGGCACAAGACGTTAGAAAGCTCCTTGAAATTGTTCTGGAAAGGTGTCCCTGAAAGAATGATACGCTTCTCCGTTTTCACTTTTGTGAGCAGTTTCCAGATGAGACTATTCTGGTTCCTTGGAGTGTGGCCTTCGTCAAGGACCAGCAGCCCCGGCAAGTCTAGCAACATCTTCCTTAACTTTTGCGTTTTCGCGGCGCCTTTAGTCCCAGCGAGCTTCTCATAGAGACTGTAACTGATTCCAAGAACGCTCTTCTTTTTCCTCCAAGAACATAGCTTGACCATACGGACATAATCCTTGTTGCTCCGATTGTGTCTATTCCCCTTTAGACGTGAAACATCTGATTGGTTCTCTTGCCCTGACAGCTCTTGACTATTCATGTTATAAAACGGAATGTTTGAATTCCATTTCTTGAACTCTTCTTCCCATGTAAGCATTAAACTTGCAGGAGCTATGACCACAGGATGGCTATCTGGAAACTGTTCTAAGTATGACTGAAGAAACACGATGGTCAAACGCGTCTTACCAGTTCCAGGGGAATGAGAAATAATGCATCCGCCACTTTCTTTAACCACTGAGCTTTTCAGCTCGTCAAGTTTAGTTGTCCCAGCTAAGTTCTTCCACATAAACTCAAAGCCTTCTTGTTGGTGTGGGTAAAGATTATCTTTGATGCCAGGGATGTATTCCCACACAGTTCCCTTTACATTTTTCAAAGACGCCACATTGCTGTTGTGGCCTGACGCTTCCGTATCAAGGCTGTCAAGTAAATGGTCATTCTTTTTGCTGCGACATGTCTTTTTTTCGTAAACATAAGCGCGATACTTGTCCTGCGCGATATTCAGAGAAACCAACATGAAAAGAGAATCAACAAATAGTATGGTTTCCTAGTATAATTGAATGTTACCATGGCAGGTGAGACATCTCTCATCTCGACGGAGACATAAGAACAGAAGCGGCATTTCAGACCAATTTCCTCATCAAGGACGAAATCATGTTTCCCGTTGTTGCATGACACATCTCGATTCTGATACATGAAATAGAAAAATTATTCAGTTTCATGCGTTAAGAATGATAAAAGAGCGTCGGAGAAAACACAAGAAATAAGTAGTCTTACTTTAGAATGAGTAGATGAGTGTAGTCCTTCCAATGATAGAGCTAAGGCCATATCTTCCCACAACCTCTCTATTTCTTTCTCCTCTTCAGTTTTCTTAACTGTCTCAGGCTCCTCACAGCCAAATCTCAGGTTTATAGGAGGCGAAACCCACGGTTCTTCCCCAAAAAACGAATCTCCTAACAGATCAACCACATTTGATTGATTCTTCTTTCTCTCCCTATGGAATCTCCTTCGTTTCCTCTGTTCATGCCCCTTCTTACCTACTATAGTCTCTTCTCTGGTATCATCAAACTCTGCTGTTTCGTCTTCATTCTTCGTCTTCCGCTTCTTCCGAGTATATACTCTTTCACTTGGGCTCTTCTTCCTAACTCTAGCAGTGTCTCTGGCACTAACCTCGTCGTCCTCAGAGCTATCCGTGTAAGAAGAATCTGAGTTTTCCTCTGAATGGTGATATGAGTCAGACTCAACACTATTGCCATCTTCACTGAAAACTTCAATTCCTAAGTCTTCTATAGAAGCTCCCCCGTCAGAACTAGAACTAAGACTCACAACCTCATTCTCCTCACCCATCAAATCAGCATCATCCACAACCAAATCACAAACCCTATCAACATGTTCTTGGTCTCTCAGGAAAGTTCCGAGAAAAACAACATCATCAGAAGACTCCTCACCAATCAAATTCTCATCATTCACAGCTACATTATCATCCTCTACTATATCTTTGTTACCTTTCGGATAGATAGTTCTGACGAATTCAACATCAACATCAACATCAACATCAGGAGGTTTCTCCTCACCCACAGTCAAATCACAAACCCTATCTGACTCTATACAAGGAGCAACCACCGCATTGTTATCCTCTACTACATTCTCCTTCTCTCGCTTACCTTTCGGATAGATAGTTCTGACGAACTCGACATCGTCGTCATCTTCGCTCTTCTTTTTCCGGCGCCGCTTCGTCTTCTCCGGAGAACAAGAATCGTACAAGAGCGCTCTCTTATTCTGCCTCGTTCTCCTGCTCTTAGATTGATCCGCGACAGAGATCCCCTTTGATTGGTTCAGAAGATCGTTCATGTAAGATTCCGTCCTCGAGCGAGTTCTTCTGCCAACGCAAGTAGTCATATCCATGGCTAGAGAGAGAGAGAGAGAGAGAGGATTTTGGTTAAGAGAGAGAGTGAAATCGAAAACCCTAATGGAGAAGAAGACGAGGAGTCATGCAAATAATCTTCTGTGCCTTTGGCGGTAACGATTTTAACTTTTTAATCTCGAAAAACGTTGATAAAAGGGTTCTCGTCTTTCTATATCTATGGGTTATTATGTAGTATTGAAAACAATGAGGGGTATATGTGAGAATTTTTAGGGAGCTTTTACTAATTTTACGGTTTTATGTAACTTCTTGGATAAGTTTCCTTCACTCCCATTGGTGGGAGATTGATTGCTACGAGAATTTCGGAGTTTAAAGTTCCAAGTTTCCGACTGTTTGTTGTCAGCAGCAATGGCACTATTTATTGGTCAAAATACTAAATTAATTTCAATATTCTTTCTCTTATTACGATTTCTGTTCAGTGAGGAGATAATCAATGATCCTCTAATTTTCAATGTTTTGAAAAGTTTACTTAAATACTAGTAGCATTAATTTATATAAAAAAGACTAAAAAGCGACATATAACCAAATAAATGAGAAAGATTTTTGAATCGAAAGCTATCAGAGTATGAATGACCTAGGGTCTGATTGTTGTTTTAACTATACAGACTTCAGATGCTTTAAATTAGTTGTAAAGCCACTAAATTCAGGGATGTGATTGATGTATGGGCTTTAAAGGCTAATTATCCCCTATATATTATTTGAGAATCATTTAAAAAGTTGTAACCTTAAGTTTGTAAGAACTAAAAATAACCCCAATCATATGTGGCATAGCTCTTTGGCTTCTATTTCAAATCCTAAGGATTCTAGAGCATGTGATATAATGTATAGTCTAAAAATTATATTCTCTAACAATATAATATTTCGTAGACTATAGTTGGTCACATATATCAAATCCCTTATATACTAAAGCACAAGTCACTTTACCAATGAAAATTTGACATCTAATTTTATTTTTCAAATTTTAAAATTAATTAGTTAAAACTAATAATTTAGAAAAGGAAAAAAACAACTGTATACGGTTTCTCAAAACCCACTACACTACGTCATTATCCACGATCTTCTTTATCAGGTTCATACTCCTATAAATATTCGATAAGTAAACAGCAGAGCAATTCCCTTTCGATCACAAACAAAATATGAAAACATATGCTACTTCTTTAGGAGCAGAAGAAGAAGAGATCAAAACATAACCTTTCACTTCCACATTGTGTCATATCACTAAAATGCGGGTTGCAGTTCTCTAATATTGTGTGGTTTTGAGTTCGTCGGATCTTGGGAGTGGTTTTCGAGACCCATGATGTGGAGTACCATTGCTGGCTTCTCCAAGACAGCGGCGGTGGTTGCAAGAACCCGCGGATCTGCAGTGCATGTCCACGATTAAGTGTTGTATACTGGTATTGATACCTTTCATGGTTCATGGTTTTGCAACTATTGAATAAATCAGCGAGGAGACTGATTATACTCTCCTTGATGCTTTTTGATTAATTAAAGTTTTTTTTCTTTCTCATTTTGCTGTCTATCCGGGATTTATATTTACACAGGACACATGTTTTTTCTTTGATCGAGAGAAATAGATTGGGGCTAGGAGGCTTGCTTTCTCCTCGTGTTATCTTCTTTGAACAGTAAAAGTTTGAATTTCTTTAGTAGCAAAATATCAGGTATTTGTTATCTTCTATAATACTCTTTGTTTTGTTAGTGTGTTCTTCACTATAATGTGTGACTATCCATTTATACGTATAATCGTTTTACAAAAAAATATTTGCCCTCTGTGACATGCTGTTTTATTGTTTTCATTAGATTTATAATTTTAGTTTTGTTTGTAATACTTAATGAATTACTAAATATACTAAGCCAAAGAAATATAAATTGCGGGTAAAAAACTAGAAAAAAATAATGAAAGCAAAAAATCTTCAAGAAGTAAAAAAGGAAAGCTTCAAACTTATATCTCTATCAAACAAGCTAATTAAAATTAATGTAAAAACATCTAATCAAATCTAATTTCATTTTATTTAGTATGTTTGTGGTAAATAATGATAAGTGTTTATATACATACATATATATATATATATAAGATATATGCATATCTTTATGATAAATTAGAGTTAAATAATACATGTTATTTTTTAGCTAAAAATCTAATTCTTTTTGTGGCTATTTGGCAAATAAACTCTAATTAGATTTGTTTTTTATTTTATTTGTAAGCAGAAATATTCCCATGCATAGCATGGGCACAATACTAGTATTTATTGTTTCGCATGCTTTCCTTAAATAAAACATACGGAATTACCTAATGTGATTAAAATATATATGACAATTAATGATTTTAAACAATAAAGATTTGATAACAATCTGTATACTTTTTCACATTTTGTTTATTTATTTATTATTAAAATAAATTACGTAATTATATTAATCATATAATAAAAATCTAGATTTTTTTTGTGTATGTTGTATTTCGAATTTTTCAAAATGACTATATATTACTAAAACTGTTAAATGTCTCACATAAACTTTTAGGATCAAAGTTTTAATTTTTTTCTATATTAAAATATAATGATTATAAGACCATATGAAGAAATAATTTTAGTTTATATATATATATTTCATATCGTTTTAATTAAACTATAAATCGTATGAAAATACCTACTTATATTTTGATATTTGTCTTCAACATATATTGAAAAGTTAATATTTTAATTTGAAATATGTCATTTTAAAAAAAAATGATTATAAATTATTGAAACTATTAAACATCTCACATTGAAAAAAATCGTTGGTGTAAAGTTTTGTTACACAAATATGCAAATAATCATAAAATCATATGAGTAGAAACCTCATTTAATAAATATCAATATTAAAAGTGTGTCATATTACTATGTTTCTATCATTTAAATTTAATTATATATCATATACAATATATAAGATTGATTATTTTGATTTATTTACGCTAATTGCGAATAAATAAGAGTGATAGTTAAATTTATATGCATACGTCAATTTATTACATAATAGTGACTGATTTCTTAGCTATGTAATATATATATTTATTATTTTATTATTTTATGATATGCAGAATATTATAAAATAAGTTATAAATATAAAATACTTATTGTGCATAAAGTGCAGATCTTAACCTAAGTATGCACTACAAAAAAAGATGTGAATTGTATCACTTAAATTGTATCACAAAATTAAATGATACAATTTTCAATCATTTATTTGTAAATGATACAAAATATAGATAATTTAGTATCAGTTATGACAACCGATGTCATTATTAACAAATTTAACATCACTTTGACTAACTGATATAATTTATCTTGATTAGCGTCACTTAAATAAAACCGATGTTACTATATTAAGTTATATCATTTATATAAATGAGGTAAATTTATTCTGGATTAAAATCATTTATGCAAATGTTACAAATTTTACATCGTTTTAAAAGTGATTCTAATAATATATAATAATTTTTTTAAAAATAATGATTAGTATTAACTTCAGTTATAAAAGAATGACGTAACTATCTCTTTCTTTGCCATCAATTAAATATAAATGATACTATTTTATCCTAACTTGTATTAGTTAAAATATTTGATATTAAAAAAAACTAATTTTCTTCACATAATTGTGGAGATATCACTTTTTATCATAGTTATATTTTATGTTGATATACTTTGATAAATATATTATAGTAGAAAGATAATAAGAGATTTAAGTTGATATTTATCTTTAAGAAACTATAGGTATACAAAAAGTTAAAAAGATAATTTTTACCCATCTCTTCTAGTAAAAAAGGAATTGTGTCGTTACGTTAAACTCATTCACGATCACAGCTAGTTTCATCACCTTCCATTAGCTTTTGAAAAGAAGGTTGAATAACAAAAGAAATTAAAGTAAGTTTCTTTTAAATTATAATCAACTCTGTTTTTTTTTCTTAACACTTAAAAGAGTCTTAATATATCTCTTTCTTAGGCAAAGAGAGTTCTGTCTTTTGGTTTCAAAACTCAGCAGTGAGCAGAAAAATCAGACGTTGGATACAATCGAGGTAATGTATTTATATTCCCATTATTACTTATGGATATGAATTTCGTTGGGTTTTAAAACTCAATGGTTGGTCATGAATTTAAAAGTCTGCTAACTGTGAAAATCTGTTTTTTTTTCAGGTTCTAATGGATAAATCATGGATAAATAAACCACGTTTATCGCAAGATTACATAATAGGAGTGAAGAATTTCTTGGATTTTGCATTTGGGAAATCTAATGCACCCATGGTAAAATGTCCATGTACTCGTTGTTCTCTAACCAAATCTAAGACAAGGGAAGATATCGAAGGTGATTTGATTTGTTATGGCTTTTTAAGTTCTTACACAAGTTGGATCGTACACGGCGAAGATATATGTGTCACGGGAAATGCAAGAGTACATTCTGATAGTGCTCATGTTGAACTAGATTCAACTTTGAACCTCTTGGACGATATTTTTCCAGATATTAGTGCAAATGGGACTGAGGAACATGAACATGGGTCGTCTGGACAACCTATGGACACTGATAGACCATCAGGCTCAAGTGGAAATTCCAAAAAAGGAGAAGGTTTTGATGAGATGTTTGCTGATTACAATCAAGATCTATATCCTGGGTGCGATAAATTCACGAAGTTGTCATTTATACTGAAGTTATACCATATCAAATATATGTGTGGGATTAGTGACAAGGGGATATCTATGGTGCTTGATTTGATGAAAGAAGCATTTTCACTTGCCAAATTGCTGGATTCATTTAATGACATGAAAAAAGTTATTCGCAAATTAGGAATGACTTATGAGTCAATTCATGCATGTCCAAATGATTGCATGTTATATTGGGAAGCTGATGCAGAAAGGGAGGTTTGCAAAGTTTGTGAGGCCTCACGTTGGAAAGATACAAAAAGCACAGTTTCTGTAACAGGAAAAAAAAAAAAGAGATCTCCTGCAAAAGTTTTGCGTTACTTTCCCCTAAAGCCACGGTTACAGCGTTTATTTATGTCATCAAAAACTGCTGCCCACATGAAGTGGCATGGATCTGCTACTAACAATGATGGTAAGCTACGACATCCAAGAGACGGAAGAGCTTGGAAGGAATTTGATAAGAAGTATCCTGACTTTGCATCTGATCCAAGAAATGTCAGATTAGGGTTGGCGACCGATGGTTTTAACCCATTTGGTACAATGAGTAGTAGTTATAGCATCTGGCCAGTGATATTATTTCCTTATAACTTTCCACCGTGGATGTCAATGAAGCGAACGTCAATGATTCTCTCGATGGTTATCCCTGGAAAACACATGCCTGGTAATGATATTGATGTTTACTTGCAGCCACTTATCAAAGATCTGAAGGAGCTATGGTTTGATGGTATTGAAACGCTGGATGCTTCCTCAAAACAAACATTTAACATGCGAGCAGCTATCATGTGGACAATAAGCGATTTTCCGGGCTTAGGAAATTTGTCGGGTTGGAATACATATACGGCATCAGCTTGTCCAACATGTAGCTTTGATGGAATTGGACAACGTTTACGACATGGGAAAAAAAATTGTTTTATTGGTCATCGTCGTTTTCTTCCTCTAGATCATGGCTTTCGGCAGAATCGGGTACATTTTGATGGAAAACTAGAAACCAGATCTCCACCAGCCACATTGACAGGCTCCACCATTATTCAGCAGTTAGAAGAAGTCAATGTTACTCTTGGTAAAAAAGATAGTTCTGTGGTAGTTGGAAAAAAGAGAGACAGAAGTGATTCCGGAAGATCTAGTACTCAGCAGTGGAAGAAAAAAAGTATATTTTTTGAGTTGCCTTATTGGGAATTTACAATGCTGCGACATAACCTGGATGTCATGCATATAGAGAAGAATGGTTGTTGATCTGAAGTCACAAATGAAAGAACTATCTGATCAAGTTAAAGGAATGACTACATTCATCCAACAAGTAATTGGTACTTCAACTGGTGAACATGTAATAATATAATTTATAAATTAATTATATTTTTTATAATTGTTGGTATGTAAACTAACATGTTGAACTAATTATTTAGGCAAGAGCATGGGCTTCAAGTTTTGCTGTAACTTTTGCCAACATACCAAATCCAACTTTTTCCAACATTCCATGTCCACCCAATCCAAATCAAGTAAATTCTAATTAACTTTAGTTCTATATAATCAATAGTTATTTAAAATGTTAACTAGTTCGTTATATCATTCTATTTCAGGAACGGAGTGATGATGCTGTTAGAGATTAATACTCAGACGTTTGAAGCAATGGCACTGGTCTTCATCAACATTAGTTTATTAAAATTTTCAGCAACTTTCAGTTTATTTTATTTTACGAATTTGCATGCAGGATTAGTTATGTTATTTTTGATTTCTTTATGTATTAATCTAAATCAGGTTTTATTCATTGAATTAATTTGTCTGCATTTTATATATATATATATATATATTTAAAATTTAATTAAAATTCGTTTATATTAATATAAATCATAAATATGTAAATAAAATAATATTTGTATCATTCATATAAGTGAAGTATATTAGAATCATTTATAAAAATTGATATAGACTTAGCATCAATAATATAAAATGATGATAAACATTTAAATCACTAAACTGTAAATGATACAATTATTAATCACTTTTTAAACTGATATAAATTTAACATCAATACGTAAAATGATACTAATACTTTAAATCACTTTCTTTAAATGATATAATTATTAAAGTCACTTTTAAAAAACTGATATAAAGGCAACATCAATTGTTTAAAATGATATTATATTTTAAATCGCTTGTTATAAATGATACAATTACTAAAATCATTTCTGAGAATTGATATTACTGTTGCATCAGTTTACAATAATTGATTTAAAATTCAAATCATTTTTTCTAATTGACACTAATACTAAAATCATTTTTCATAACTGATTTTAAAATTAACATCATTTGATTACAAGTGATACGTTTTAATATCATTTAAAATAATTGATGTTAATATATAAATTTATTGCATCAATTGTAAATAAAATGATGTAAATTATTTGCATCATCAGTTTCAGAGTCATTTATTAAAATGATGTAAAAGTTTTTTACATCATTTATAACTAATGCAAATATATAAAATAAATGATGTAAACTAGCCTTTTTTTTGTAGTGATGTATCTTTTTAATTATTTTAAATCTTAAGTATTTTCTAAATCTCAGGTCAAAACAAATAAACAAAATGAGAATAAACTTCAAAATCAATATTTATATTGAGTAATAACCAAAATATAAGAAGCACAACAAGAGAAAAAATTGAAGATAAATAGGATTAACATGTGAACGTAAACTTCTCATGACCATAATTAATTTTTAAATTGTTAAATCATGATATAAAACTGAGTTAATTTTTAATTTGTTAATTTTTCATTTTTAATTTTTTAAATCATTATGGTTATATTAAATCATGACCATAATTAATTTTAAATTCTTTATTTGTATTTGAAAAACTTAAAATATTGTTTTTAAAAATAATTTAAAATTTAACTTAATTTTTTTATAAAATTATTTAAAAAATAATAATTTGTAAAAAATAGTTTTCTAGTATTATTATACAAATAAATAAATTATATTAAATTAGTTTTGAAACTTTATATATTTTAAATGCAATTATTTTACCAACTGCTTCTTAAAAACATTAGGAAATTTGCTAATACTCTACCAATCAAGCTCAATGACACTCTGTTTATTTTCCATCACTCCAGCACTAAAAAGTGAAAAGATATATGACATCGGGTCCATTAAATTCTAAGATTTGATCTATAGTTCTAATTACAATTGCTTCTGATCCTACATATAGATAATTATTTAAAATTTTCAAAATTTTAAAATTTCAAATACATATAAAAACAATTCTATGTAAATTTTAAATTTATCAATACTAAAATTTTATATCTTAAATTCTTTATTTGTATTTGAAAAACTTAAAATATTGTTTTTAAAAATAATTTAAAATTTAACTTAATTTTTTTATAAAATTATTTAAAAAATAATAATTTGTAAAAAAATAGTTTTCTAATATTATTATACAAATAAATAAATTATATTAAATTAGTTTTGAAACTTTATATATTTTAAATGCAATTATTTTACCAACTGCTTCTTAAAAACATTAGGAAATTTGCTAATACTCTACCAATCAAGCCCAATGACACTCTGTTTATTTTCCATCACTCCAACACTAAAAAGTGAAAAGATATATGAAATCGGGTCCATTAAATTCTAAGATTTGATCTATAGTTCTAATTACAATTGCTTCTGATCTTACATATAGATAATTATTTAAAATTTTCAAAATTCTAAAATTTCAAATACATATAAAAACAATTCTATGTAAATTTTTTACAATACTAAAATTTTATATTTTAATTACGTATATTCACCCTGCACAAGACGCAGATCTTATCCTAGTGGTTATTTAAAGCGAGAAAAAACAAAAATTTCCCAATAAGTAAAAATAAGTCTTGACAATAGTAAATTTTTTTGTAAATTATCTTTCTATGTAGTATAATCCATAGAACCATGTATGTAAGTTTATATAAGCCGTGTTCTTTAGGTCGACGCTGTCGCAGCGTCCGACGTCAAAGAAAATAAAAAGGACACGGCTTTTATCGTGAATTAATCCTTCCTTTCAATGTTTGTAGAATATACGCTAACAATACTGCAACCCAAAATTCACAGAGATTTCAGTGTATTTTCTTTGACACCGGACGCTGCGGCAGCGTCAACCAAAAGAACACGGCTATAGTGTGAATACAATTATGTAGAACTTGGTTGAAAAATTCTCTGCACGTGAGTATATTCTTTTTCAAATCACTATAAAACTGTCACAATGTAATGTAAACACATTAAATAAAAATGTTTCTTCACTAATATATAGAAGATTCATTATTTAAAAAAAAAATTAATATTATAAATTTTGAATTAGAAAGATGAAAATTCTTATACTTTTATTGATTAGAATTTAATATTTATTAAATTTATTTTATTTTAATGAAAATTAGCATTTATGTTTCACTCTGGTCTTAGTTTCTATGATTGTTACTTTGTTAGTACATGACAAATGACCGCTTATTCTCATGTAATCGATTATTAGTTGGCAACATAAATGAAACGTATTGAACCAAATGAGAATACTATCCCGACGCGTTCATCTGTTTCAGCTCTTTTCCTCTGATTTTGGTTTGAATCCATACGATCATTCCCACGATTCGAATCCGCAAAATTCCTTCGATTCTTGTTTGAACCTCTTAGCTCTTTGGTTGATTTTGCGATCTGAGAGAGACCAGATCCGAAAGAGGAAGAAGAAACAATGCAAGCAAGGCATGGACACTCGTCGTATCGAGATCGTACGGACGAGTTCTTCGGCGTCGTCGAAACGCTGAGGAGATCGATTGCTCCGGCGGCGGCGAATAATGTCCCCTATGGTGGCGGAAGAAGAGAGGATCCGAGATCCACGGCGGTTATGCAATCGGAGTTTAACAAAAGAGCTTCTGTTATCGGTTTAGCTATCCACCAGACCTCGCAGAAGCTATCGAAGCTCGCTCAACGTAAGTTTTATTTGTTCCCTCATTCATCACTGAATCTGGATAACGTTGATGAATGAACATGTAATTTACTGGTGGAATTTGCAAAGGTTTTGATAGCAGAAGCTAGTCACTGCCATTGCCTGCACATAAGCAAAATTGTTGTGAGCATTTGAAACTGAACCTGAGATCTGAACCCTAACTGAACATTTTTGATTCCGTACTGGATCCGAGCTTTAAAAATACATTAGCAGATCTTGTAGAGTGATATTTCAGGTTTGGTGTTACCTGAAATTGGCCAGATACTCGGAAAAACCAAATTATTATCTGAAACAATGGTTTAGAAATTGCCTTATATAAAATTATTGTTTAGATAGACGCTGAGACCGATCTTTAAAAAATTATTCTACAAAAATCGTTTCGCTTCGAATTGCCGACTAAGTGGACGCTTAATACCGACTTTTAGAACACTGATCTAAACTAACTACTGTATTTTTTTTTTTGAATTAATGTTAAATTTTATTCATTAAAAAAGCCTTTAGTACAACAAGCGTATACTGTTTGGTTTTAAAAACTAAACCATATTTGACCAAAAAAAAAAAAAAACCATATAAGCTATTTACATTCTAGTTTGAAACCAAAACTGCAATAGCTTCTCCATCCCTTTGATCCCCTTTAATCTTATCAGACTGATCCTGTTTCTAAACTAACTATTCAAAACCTAATTAAATACATAAATACCTACCACCATATATAAAACCTGAATGAAGCCTAAAACCTACTTCACATAGCTCATGGCTTGTTTGATGGTGTGAATTCTTCATCTTTGGAACTTTGAGCATGGATAATTTCTGAGAATGTTTCTTTGTTATAGTAGAAATGGAAGAAGCTGTTGTTTTTTTTTTTTTGGCAACATACGCTTTAAGCATATAGTTTTATTAACTTTTTTCATTTGGTTGCAAAATCAGTTGCAAAGAGGTCATCGGTTTTTGATGATCCCACCCGGGAGATAGGAGAGTTGACGGCTGTAATCAAACAAGAGATCTCTGGTCTAAACACAGCTCTTCTCGACCTTCAAGCTGTACGCAACTCTCATAATGATGAAAGGAACATCTCTAGAGACACAACTACTCACTCAGCGACAGTTGTTGACGATCTAAAGAACCGCTTGATGGACACTACCAAAGAGTTTAAGGATGTTCTTACTTTGAGAACCGAGGTTCTTTCTGCAGAAAACGACTCTTTTATTGTTTCATGTAGTATGATGCTACTTAACCTGAGAGCTTTTTGATTTACTGGTCTGGTGTTTGCAGAACATGAAGATTCATGAAAATAGAAGGCAAAGATTCACGAATAACCCTTCAAAAGAATCAACAAACCCATTCGTTCGCCAGCGCCCTTTGGCTTCTAAGCCTGCTCCTAGTCAACCTGCTCCTCTTCCATGGGCAAATAGCTCTTCTTCATCGTCATCTCAGTTAGTCCCTAGGTAATGTACTAGGATCACCCGATAACCACAGATGTAACATTTCACTTGAAGCCTGTCTAAGAATTTAGCATAGTTAGCTTTTAGAATGTTGCAAAGCATCTACGTGAATTTAAAACTTTTTTTTTATCATTTCTGCATGTACAGGAGGCAGGGAGAGGCTGAATCTTCTCCATTGTTGCAGCAGAGTCAACAACAACAACAACAACAGATGGTCCCATTGCAAGACACTTATATGGAGAGCCGTGCAGAAGCTCTACACAACGTAGAATCAACAATCCATGAGCTAAGCAATATCTTCACACAACTAGCAACCATGGTTTCTCAGCAAGGAGAGATCGCTATCAGGTACGTCAACACTGAAATGTGTATAACTTGTTAAAATGCATTGAACGTTTGTGGAAAAGGAAGTAATATTATATGTTGTTAAAAAATTGGTTTTACCATAGAATCGATCAGAACATGGAAGATACATTGGCGAACGTGGAAGGCGCACAGAGCCAACTGGCCAGGTATCTGAACAGTATATCGTCAAACCGATGGCTCATGATTAAGATTTTCTTCGTACTGATTGCATTTCTCATGGTTTTCCTCTTCTTCGTGGCGTAATATTGAGATTCTTTTTTAAAGAAATATATGATTGTAAAAGTGTTTCAAACATATAGACATGGTATGGTTCTCTTTTTCTGTCGTATTGACATGTAAAGATTCAAAGAGAAAGGGATCTTTATGCTCTGTTCAGATTAGTGGAGCTTTATATATTACCACTTTTTAAATGTAAAACTGATTTGCGTTTCCCAACTATTTTTGTCATTCTGCTTCTGCCTTACCAAGAAAACCAAACTTGCCTCCCAGTTGATTTCCCTTAGTTTGCTTTTGTCGTGTTACTTGTAAGTTGTAGCTGATTAAATCTTCAACTACGGCTTGAAAATATGAGTTGATGTATATATCTAAAAAGAAACGTGTGCTTTTTGTACAAAGCTGCAAGCGATCAATTTGTTGAAAGTCAATGGAGTAACATAGCATGTCACATATTTTTATCTAGAACAATCAAGTGATCTCTTTTTTCAAACGTTAAGCTCTTCCACTTCAGGACTTAGTGGCTTAAAGAGAGCCTCCACTTCGGTTTCTTCTACCTCGTCTAAGCTTGCTGGTTTCCATTTTGGAGTCTGCCAGATAAAGAAAAAAAAAACTCATGAGATAAGCTTAGAGGCACATCAGAGAATATAGACCAAAATCGGAAAAGAAAAATAAAACAGAGCGAAACACAAGATTATCATAAATGAGTGGCGAAGAACAAAACCTGGTCCTTGTCAATCAAGACTGCTCTAACACCTTCAGTGAAATCGCCGCGCAAGGCAGCTCTCAGAGCAATACGGTACTCCGTTTTCATCACACCATTAAGCTTCAAGATGGAAAGAATAATTAAGTAACAAAAACTAGTGGCGTAACTGTATACAAAGAGTTTGGACTCACCGTTGCCATCTCATTGTTGGTTTTACCCATAGCACAAGCAACTTTGGAGAAGTACTTATGTGTTAGGTAAAGAGAAAACGGAGCTCCTTTTCCAAGGCCTTGGAGTGCTTCATTAGCCCATTCTGCAACTGTGTCTAACTTTCTCAGAGGCACGATGGCGATTTCAATCTCATAATGCAAACAGCAAGTAGCAGACATTAAAACAAGAATGTCTATCTTTCAAACCTGAAGCCTCAGTGCTCTGCTGGTACTTCTTCAGCTCTTCGATTGTTTCCTTAACAGATTTACTAGCACTAAAAGCTGTTTCTATTTGAGGCAGCATCATTTTGAGGTGGGCTTCAGAGTCAGGAACGCTGCTGTATTCTGATAAAGTTGCTTGGATGTCTAGGTGAGGATCCTTGGAACTGTATTACCAAACATGCATCTTTTCTGAATTACGAAACAGGGAAATAACAAATGAAATCTAGGGATAGAGAAATTCTAAAATGCATGACAAGGACGGGATTTTTACATGTCAGCTGACAAAAAGGCTTCTTTGAGTGCAGCTAGCTTTTCAGATGGTACACAATGTGTCCCAAGACCCACATACAATGCATCTGCAGGTGTGGAGACCCTTCTCCCAGTCATACCAAGATACGCACCTGCAGAATTTGACGGTCGATTGGAGAATGCATTTTAGATGGTCTCAGCAATATGAAACATACGTGCTGAACAGTGAACACAACGACCAGCTCACAGAAAATCTGTGGATGCACTAATAATCAATATTTTTCACAAGTTATGTAACTTTTGAGAAAGAACCTAAATTAGCCAATAAACAGGAAGGAAACAGTATTGGCCAGTTTTATAATAATGGATTAGAAAGTAAAAATCCAATTAGGAATATTGGATATTAACATACCAACAGAGCCTCTGCCAGGGCTATGAGCTGCTATATATGAAAACCCAACATCTGGAAACAATCCAATTCCATTTTCTGGCATTGCGAGGACCGTTCTCTGGAAATGGATGATAAACAAGTAAATAACAAAGAATGCCAAAATTGTTATCCGAACCAAAAAAAAAAGGATCTACTATGTGCAGTACCTCAGTTATCACACGGTAGCGCCCATGTCCAGAAAGACCAAGGCCAAATCCCATTGTTATGCCATCCATTAAAGAGATATATGGCTTTTTGTATCCAGCAATCTTGCAAATCAGGGTATACTCAGCTGTAAATACCTACAAGAAAGCAAAGCTATGAAGTCAAGACATCTGGGAAAAGAACACTTTTCATGACACATAATGCAGAACTGAAAGTGAAGTACTTCAAAGAAGAGTTAATCCAAGCAAAAATAAAGCAAGCATGGAACATTAACAAATTTTAATAAAGCCTAGACCAAAGAGTGTTACCACATAGATTAATTTTAATAAAGCCTTAGCCAAGACTAAAGAGTGACCACATATATAAATTTGATCAAATCAATTGACCACTTCGATTTCACCAAGCTAGAAATTTCCTCATACATTTACTACGCTAAGCAGAAATAGAGTATAATGCTCTAGGGAAATGTGCCTGTTTCTATTATATCAGGAGACCAAGTTTTGGTAACTAAAACTGTTGCATGACTAGTCTTTTTTCTGTTTCTATTTCAGTAAGCCAAGAAAAAAAAAGCGCACAAACCGGACCTCTATCATATCTGACAAATGATTTTTGGTTGTAATCTGCTTCACATCACCGCCTGAAAATAAACTAAAACCATGGTTATGTAAATTTCTATCATGTTTTAACTAGATAAAGAAGACTCATTTGATGGAAAAAAAAATGACTCCAAAAAACCCCACTCCCCCCCCCCCTCATAAAACACAACACGGAACAATAACTCGATCAAGCAAGGAATGATTATGTAATCATCTTCTACAGTCAGTCAATAAATAATACAACGATTCATAAAGAAACCTTTTGCACAAGAGGAGTGTGTTTGTCCACTAAGATATCTGCAACAACTCCTTTAATATCCATCCCTGCACCATTCATACATGGTGTCACTACCACAAACCTCTTCCCCAGACCCTTTACCAAAACTAAATTAAGACCAAAAGCAACAAAACTTTCCAAAAAGAAGTCAACTTTACCAGCACAAAAGGCTCGAGGAGTACTTCCTTCGACAATAACACATTTGACATTAGGATCAGATTCCCATTCATCAAGCAACCTTTTGTACTTCAAATCCATTTCTGTAAAAAAGAATCAATACTTTCATGGATTTGAATTTTGTTATTTTGATTCATTAAAGAAAATACCAAAAACGGGACCTAGATTCATGGCGTTGAGAGCTTTATGTCGGTCAAGAGTGATGACAGCGACGCCGTTTGGAAAAACGTTTCCTTTCACGAACTCTTCTTCTCCGCCGCCGCTTCCACATCCACTGGCCATTATAGTGAAGTTCCGGCGATCCGATACGGAGTGGTTAGAGAAGCGGATAGCGAAGGCGGGAGATGAAATGCAGAAGTTATGAGTCGTTGATGGATGCCTGGAGAAGAAAAAGCGAGAAGAAGCCACTCCCAAAGTTTTGATCATAGCTTTGATTCTTCCCGATTCCAGTATAGGAAATAAATAGTGACTGTTGGAACCAACCATGTAAATGTAATATATAAAGGCTCCACTAGTCTAAGAGTGTGTTGTTCGGCCCAACAGAAACATGCCCAAAATCTATTTGTATGTGTGTGTTTTGTTAAAAAAGGCATGCCCAATATTTTAAGACTATTTCTAATAAACTATTCTATTTTTTTAAAACAGAATAACTCCGTAATAAAGTTGAGTTGCACTCTATTTGAATGTAAATAAATAAAATAATAAACAAAATAAATTATATGAAGAAAATTTCAGTAAGAAAAAATTGTAAAATTATAAAAAGTATTTTCATTAATTTGAAAACATTATTTATTAAATTTTTATACTATTTTATTAATATTTTATTTAAATAGATTTAATTTAGTGATGATGTATGAATTATTAAAATATTTAGAAAACTTACCAAAAATAAAATTAACATCAAATGTCAATATTCATGTTACATTTAAGCATACGTTATGTCATATCTTTTTAGTGAATTTTGCTTTTAAAACAGACACATAAACAATGTTTACAAAATTACTTTCAAATAATAAATAGGAGATAGAGATAAAAAATAGAATAAAATTGAAGCTTTTTTACTTCAAATTCTATTTTAAAATGAAAGTAAAATAGCGCTAGATATTCTCTACGATATATACAAACATCTATGGTTTCCTTGTTGTTGGATACTATTTGAAAACTTATTTCCATTAATACATGAAATATAAAAAACGAATTTGAAGAAGTCTACCAAGTGAAATAGCGATTAACATTATCGATACTTAGATCAATTTCAATGTATTTTGGTATTTTTACTTTTAAAATAAATAAATAAATAAATAGTAGAAGTGAAATTTACTCCAAAATATTCCTTTAAGAAATTATAGTTATAGACTAAAAATAGAGCTTGCTTGGAGTAGATGATAAAGGTTGATTGGAGTAGATATACATCTAAATGATATCTGTTATATAATAATTGGAAACATTACCATATATTTTACATATATATAAAATTAACTAATATAAAACATAAAATATTAATTTAGAAATAAGTGTAGACATATAGTTTGGGAGATTGGGAGATGGGCACACAGAAGATTAATAAGATATGTGCGCCTCTCGCTTCGGAACAAAAATCAAATTCAGAATCTTGTGGAAGTTTACGGAATCTCACTTTTATAGCGTTACTAAAGTAACTTGCATAAAAACACGTTGAAAACTTATGTTTCCATTTTGGAATCACGCTTTCATTTAAAAATACATTATCATAAATAATAAATGAAATATAAAATCATATTGTTATAGCATATCTAAAATTTAATAGTATATATAGTGAGAACAGAAATATGTAAATACTAAAATTAATACTATAAATTATTTTATGCACTATTTTATAAGATATATATCATATATATATTCAAACATATTTTGCCAAATATTTATAAAATATTAAAAATAATTAATTGAATAAAATTTTCTTATAAACTTAATTTATCTACATTTTCACAATGATAATATGTAATCATTTAAAATTATAAGAAAGGAATACACTATTTATATTTAATTAGCATCATATACTTATTCGTTATAAGTTTAATAAATTTATATATTATATATATTGGATATATGCTTTCAACACGTATCTACTTCCTATTTTTTTTATTAAAATCTGATTTCGAACTTCCATATGTTTTCGTTTATGTGCACCTACTTCTGTTTCCATGTAACTTAGCCCATGATCACTTCAGACCCAAAAAAACTGAAAAAGAATAATTGAATAAATAGTGATCAACCCCAATCTCAGTATAAACTATCAATTATGAACATCACAACTCTTAGAAAAAGACACCAAAGAAAAATAAATCACTATACATGTATCATCTATAGATTGAAACTCAAAAAAAAAAGAGTCAATTGGCCAAATATACAAGAATAAGATCAATATTAGGAAAGTACCCTAAGTTTAAAATAAAGGTAGAATACTGTAGCTTTTTTACATTGAAATTCCTATAATAACCCTATTATCTTCTTCTTCGTTCTTTTTACAGATGCTGCACGACCGATCACCAAGAACGTCGGCAAAGGCACCAGGAGCAGGGTAGAAAGACGAGTGAATCAAGAGGGAGGAGGAAGGGGGAGGAAGAGGAAGAAGGAGGAGGGGAGGGGAAGGGGGACGAGATCAGAGGAGGAAGAGGAGTGGAGGAGATCGGAGGAGGAGGGGTGAGAGAGGAGGAGATCGGAGGAGGGAGGAGGGGAGGAGAGGCGAGGGAGGAGGAGGAGGAGGAGGAGGGGAGGCGGAGGAGATCGGAGGAGGGGAGGGAGAGGAAGAGGAAGAAGGAAGAGGCGAGGGGGAGGGGGAGGAGATCAAGTAGGATGTATGTGGAGGGGATGAGATCGGAGGAGGAGGAGGGGTGAGAAAGGAGGAGATCGGAGAAGGAAGATGAAGAGAGGAGAGAGAAAGATTAAGGGTAATAGTGGAATTAAAAAAAAGAATAATGGTTAAGGTATATACCTAATTTCGATATTATCAGTGTATATGCAATGCAAATTCTCAAAAAAAAAAAGTTTCAATCAAGAGAGTCCAGGTCCACCATAACCCAAAGGACAAGGCTCCGTTCTGTTATTATTTTCCCATCTCCATTTTCTGGGTGGTTTGACCCTCTATGCTCGACCCGGCCTGGTACGTTCGAGAGTCATTGGTTGGATTACTGTACTCGCTACTCGTAAAGTATGTTCCTTCTAGCGCGCGCACAACCTGCTTGTTATTTACACCAGTGATTTCACTTGAATGCTAGCTTTATAAACAATTTTAAAGGCTTAATATTTAGACAAGTGAAACAAAATGTACACCTAAGAAAACATGTTGCCCATTGTTCGGCCAATCAGTTTTAAACTTTTTATTTAAGTGGTGTTGTATATATATACAGCAAAATACATGATTACGCGGATACTATGATCGAACCGAAAATTAACAAAATCTAAATCGAACTATAACTTTTTTAAGAGGATTAACTGAAACAAAACCAGAAATGAAATTGGTGCAATCGAACCAGCCCAAATAAACTAAACCAGAAATGAATTACTTTACTACACTATAAATAAATCTAATTATACAAAATATAAATAGTTTTAATGAAAATGAATTTATATTTACATTTTTGGTAATTTTGTATTCAAAGCCATAAACTGAAAGTCATAAACTGAATAGAATTAAATCAGAATCTCAATTAAGGTTTTGTCTTTAATTTTTAAATTATACTAGAATGCTTGTCCGCGCTATGCGCAGATTACTTATTTATATTTTTATACATTTTTTAAATTATTTAGATGAGCAAAATACTAAATTTAATTAAATAAGATTTTATTTCTTTTATTTAAACTAAATTACAATAATATAATTTGGATAAATAACAATGACCAACTTTTAATCAAGTTTCCAAAAAAAAATATGTATAATAATTTGATATTGTAATAAATTTTACATACTATTTTAATTTTATAGATTACTTATATTATTTTGTTCTGTTTTAGTTGTCATATGCCATGACGGAAATATAGTTATACCTTTTATCTTTGGCATATCTTTGGCAAACCTTTTAGCCAAATAAAATAAATATATCAGCTAACAATTATTTTGTAGTTTTAGAATTGTCTCACTGTAGTTCATAAATTCAGTTCTCTAAGTTTAATATTATTATTTTATAAACTCAGCGAAAACTAAACCTATCAGCCATGATCCAACATAAGTTCATTAGAGCATTTTCAATCTACTTCTAGTTTTATCTTTATAGTATTTAAAGGCAAAATCACTCCAATGCATATTTATTTATAGAGAATAAAATATCATTACTCTCTATTTTTGTCTATATTTTGAACTATTTATTTCAAAAAAAATATATCTAAACAAAATTCATGTCTGTTATAGAATTTTTTTATTTTAGAGTTAAAAATAGGAAAATACATTGAAAATTGTTTGAGAAAAATAAAAACTTTTTAAACAGATGCAGCTTAGACACCATAATATACCTTAACACATTTTCTTGTAGGTAGTTAAAAGCTTGAAAAAGCAACAACCTCGTCACTGAAAGAGCTAACTTATAATAAATAAAATAAAGTAATAAAATAATATATTTTTTTGTCAACAATCATAACTAAAAGCACTATAACCAAATTCTCAAATTTATAGTTTATAAGTTATATATTACAATTTTTTAATTCCACATTGTTAGGTTATTGCAACCATATCTACCAAATCTGAGTCATGTATTTAAAAAATATTTGCATGGTTTATATGGTTGTGGTATTCTACTAATACTCAAAACTCTTTGGAGTTTCTAAAACTCAATTAAGAAACTTAAAATAAATCGTGCAGTAATTCAAACCTTGCTCATATTCAAGATCCCGATGTTCAACATCAAAAGCTTGTCTCATGTATTCTTTTATCTTGACATAAGAAAGCAGCCAATCAAGCTGAAAGCACGAAACTAATACCATGATCATAAACAAATTTAAGTGCCTTTCCAAGAAAGATGTAGCTCTATCAACCACGTCCACAGAAAGTTAATCTTGTGGGTGTCTTCTGTAAATAAAAGATGAAAAAGCATCATTGTCTAAATGCACTGAAATAAAAGCTAACCTTTGGATATCATCGTTATCAACACTATGTCACTTTCTTGTGAGCATTTCACTACTATCTAACTGGTCATCCTTGAATTCTATACGAACGGAATATATATTTTTACATGATAGTTTTCGTACGTAGCCTGGTTATCTAGAGAGAACAAAAAATTGATATTCTCACCACACTCGTACCAGGTCATGAGTACTACACATGAGTATTTAAAGACACTTTTGAAAATTGACAAACATACTCTGCCGGCAGGTGAAGATTCCATTTTGACCTATAAAATGAGAAGCAACAGGTGCTTCCGTCAAATCGTTTGAGCAGATTTCCACTCTTGAGATTTCTCGTTTGCTTTGAAGCGAGAGAGCGCAGAGTTCCTCTCAAGGCTGTTGGTCTCATGAGGCTATTGATGTCAGGTCGATTTCATCATCACTTTCTTTCTTTTGATCAGACTAATGAGACTATGCAACAGCCTTGATATAGATCTCTATATGATTGATACCTGTGGGAGTTAGATGATAACACGAGATAAGTCACGTCCAAGGACAGAGTAATCTTTATAGTAGTTACCATCAAAGAAAACACACGAGTCACGGTACACTCGAAGAGCTTCCTCTTAGGGTCAAGCACATTCAGAAGCTGCTTGGCGTAGATACTCTGGCTAGCTGTAAATATAATGATCTCAAAAGACACTCTCTCCATAAACTCTTTGAGGTAAGGACGGCACCGGACATACACCACATGCTCTTCTTCATTGTAATGTACAGGGAATGTGAAATCTACCTCATCACACGGTTCTAGAGTAGAGTGCACAAGAGTTTCTGTTGCAAAACAAAAAGAAAAGATATATGTTAATTAACATTGTACAATATGGAGCATCAAGTGCTTGTTAAGTAGTGTGTTACCTAGCGAGATAGAAGGCAGCTTCGAGTTTGTTTAGGAAGCAAGACGGGTCTGAAAGTAGGGACAACATAGGACAAGTCAGGCAGTTTTTTTATGAAGAGATTGGATCAAACTCATCGAGCTCCTCATCCTCTTATTCATCCTCCATGTTGCATACGGAGGTAATAAGGGAATCTTGGCCACACTAATCGACACACTCTAACTTCGAGCTCGCTAAATAAATAACAGAAGCCGAATCCAGGTTACCATTTGAATCAACGGAGTTTGTATCTAAAGCAACCAAACGATCATAAGGGCTCTGTACATCCAAATCTCGAGAAGATGAAGAAGAAGCAGAGCCATCGTCTTCCATTACAACAACCAATTAATTGATTTATTCTAACATCTTTCTGCTCACATAATTAAATCTGGATCAAAGTATCTGCTTCACAAATACAAAAAGGAAATAACACAAATCAGAAGATGCACGTATACGAAGATTCACAGTATGGATGGAGCTTAGAAATCAAATTCTGGAGCCGCCACGAAGCTACCGAAAACAAAACAAAAATTCAGTCAATGAATAGATTGTCAAAAAAAAAATGAAACAGAAAAAAGGACATATAGATTACCTCATTACCTGTGTGTCTGCTTGGAAAGATCATATATGTCGTCCTCGTTGTAGACGGCGGTAGAGGTTTTGGAGTTTGCTTTGAAGCAAATCTTGACGATGCAATTCATAGATGAAGAGAAAGAAGGGAGGTAGAAAGAAACAATAAATAAAGCATTAAAGAGCATATTTGATTGATGAAGAAGAGTTCGCGGAGACGGGATAACGGAGGTTACAGAGAAACGCTTGTTGAATACGAAAGAAAAGACCAGGCCCAAACCTATTGAAATCAAGCCCAAACGCAACTGATTTCAGATGACATGGAAAAATAGCATCTTCTCATTGGTCAAATATATATGTCGACGTGGACATGGTAAGAAGGCACTATTAAGCCCTTTTAATAGTGTTAGATACCGAGCCATGTAATTTCCTTTTTTATATTTTTGTTATTAATTAAATTCCGGTAGGAAAATAAACCAATCAGTAGCAAGGATTCAAATTCAAAAATTAACAACTGTTTCTTCAGAATTACATATTTTCAAAGGATTAAAGCCATTAATAAGGAGAATTGCCTTTTTTTTTGCTTTGGAAATTTCCCTCTTATATATTGAATTAGTTAATACCAACAAAAAAACAACCCATGAAAATGATGCTAGTATATATTTGTAAGGGTTAATTTCTAAAATAGCCAAAATTTAGAGATAAAATTAAGAATATAGCATTGGTGACGTTGACATAATTAAATATCATAGCATTTGTCTCATTTTGTCTCGGTTTTATCCTTCTTTTAAACAGGTTCCCATTTATATAAAAAGAAGCATCAACATAATAATGTACGGCATTATTGATTACCACATCGACAACAAAATAAATATGGCAGAACAAACTGAATGGTATGGTAGAATAAACTAAATAAAATAGTATATACAACAAAAGTATCAATTATCAACTTATATTAGAAAGTATAATGTGTTTACATGCTCAATATCTACGACTATTTTCATACAAAGATTACTAAGCATGCAATGATGGTCATGCTATGACTGCGATGATTGGGGAAAGAGATAATGTTACAAAGAAAATAAACAGAGTAAATAGAATATAATATGGTAAATGGTATATTTCTTATTAATGAAATTATAAAATAATTTAATATAATATAGTATATATGTCTAAAATTAACAAATAGCATAAAATATAAATTTTATGGCGGAAAATTTAGCAATATAGTACATAATCATTAAACTCTAAAAACAAAATATAAATCCTAAATCCAAAAATCAAAATATGCAAATAGAATAGTAGCAAACAAATAGTATAATATTGAAATCTATGATTGCATGAAATGAAATAATGCTTATTCCAACGTCAACCTAAACCTTCCATAAACTAAATTCAAAGCACTAACCCTAAAATGAAATATAAACCCTAATCCAAAAAAAAAAAAAAAATGCACAGAGTATATAATATGAGTCATTATCAAAATAGAATAATAACAAACAAAATAGCATAGTAGATATTATTCAAACTTTGAAATGTATAGAATTTCAGAAAAAGAGGTAATGCTTACTCCAACTTCAACCCAAACCTTCTATAAACTAAATCTAAAACATTAATCACTAAATATTAAAAGGAGATATAAACCTTAACTCAAATATCAAAATACACACATACTATAATATATATACTAAATAGTATAATATATATCAAAGTAATTATTAAGAGGTCTAAAACTACACTATGTGTGTATATAATTGACAAATGGTATAGACCTTAATTTTATTATTAGTTGTGATAATGATACGGAGGATTCTCAAGTGGTGGAAAAAAAATATAGGAGATGTACACATTTTCTGGTGGTTGTGGTGGCTATTATGGTTGTGGGTGACTAATGAATTTAGTTGTAGAAGAGTTCATAGTAATTACAGAAGAGGTGGATGTTAATTACGAAAGAAAGAGTGGTAGTTAAAAGAAAAATGTATAGATAAATACACAAACTATAAATTTGGTGGTGGCTAGACTATCTCGGTGCCTCTACTTTTTAACTCCAAATATAAAGTATTCTAAAAATAGAGGAGAATTTTGCTCTAATGATTATCTCTATTTTTTACACTATAAAGAAATATTTTTATTATATTCTTTTTTAACATATTTTTTAATTTATTACTCAATCCATAACTTTTGAAATGTTTAAATTTTACCCTTATATTTAATATTGCGGCAATAACACAATACAATTATATTATTAAATCAGAATGATTGTTTTAAAACGAAAATGTTATTACAACACTTAACAAAAGAAATGACATAAATTCATTTTTAGGTATCATTATCATTAGTGTACTTCTCCCACAAATGATCGATTAACATGTTGTAAAGTGATAAATGAGCTTCTTTATCTTTGATTTAAAGTATCAGATAATTTAATAATTAATTTAATAATTTAATGTTATTTAAAAGTATAAATCTATAATATATGATTTTATTAAGATAGAAAATAAAAGCTTGTAAAAGTGAGGGACCATTTTATAAAGAAAAAGTTCAACTTCAAAAATAGAGTAAATGAATAATTTTACTCTATATTTGGCGTAATACTGTTTATCTCTCTATGTTTAATGTAATGTTTGGTGTCCTATTGAAGTGATTTTTACTCTATATTTAATGTTTAGAGAAAAAAAAATTAAATATCATTGGAGATGTTTTTATAGTGGAGAAGTGGTGACAAAATTTGACAATGAAGTTGGTAAACAAAGAAAAAGATGGTTGATCTTTTGACCGACCGGCTGTCAAGAGTAATATAGTACTAGATCATAACCCCGTCCCACTGGACAGATTTTTGTTTTTATGGTATATATAAACATTTTAAAAATTACAATCTAATGGTTCCAATTTTACTAAGTAATAGTATACTGTTTAAACATTGTATTTCATCACTGTATTGTGTAATATGGGCGTCGGTAACATGTTGTGACCCGTAAACATTTTAGTAATAGTTTATAAAGTTTTTTTTGGCTAAATTTGGTGCAAAGTTATATACACTAAATAATTTAGTCAAAAATTTTGAGTTAATTTTTAATGAAGAATTGGAAGGCTAGTATATCACTATTAAAAACTTATAACAATAGTCAATATAAATTATATAAATAAAATATATAGTATTCTTTGTTTATTCTAAATACATTTAAAACACGAATACATATATGTATAAATAATTTTCAGAAATAAAGTAATATCAATGATATAAAACTCAAAAACAATAATAATTTCACTTTGAGTCGCAGTAATATTTAGTTTAATAAATAAGTCAATTAAATTTGTATGCTATCTATGTTTTCAATCAAATTTTTAAAATTTTCTTATTCATGTTTCCAACCACTTCATTTTTGTATTTTAGCATATAGTGTAATAATAATGGTTTTACTTTTTTTTTGTTTAGATAATAATTAATTATAGGTTATTTTTTAGTTATGTGGCCCAACTTTCCTATTTGTAAGAAAAGAAAAAAATGCCCACCCCTAAAGAAATAATTAAATTACCTGGCTCATGCGAGGCCTGCGGCCGGCTGCATAGCGAACACAAGCTCCAGCAGTTTCTATCATGCGACCCATCTCTTCCCTATCGTACTCATTCAGATTCTTATCAACTATAACCTCAAAGTTGTCTTCTTTAATCGCTCGTAAAAGTAATGATCGTGCCTGTTACAATTATTCACTCATTATCACTTTTGGTTATTCAACTGTCAAAAGGTACTAAATTATTTGCACTTATTAGTTATTACCCAATCAATAAAGCTGTCATCTCCATAGTCATTGTTTGCATTTATAGGATGACGTCCGGTTATTAGCTCTAACAGTACAGTGCCAAATGAGTACACATCACACTTGTCTGTGAGCATTCCGGTTGCAACGTACTCTGGAGCTAAATACCTAAAATCCCAAACCAAAAGTTTCTTCATTGTTTAAACTGTACAAAAGATTAAATATGTATGCTTCAGGTTTATATCTTTACCCAAAGGTTCCCATCAGACGTGTAGCTACATGTGTCTCTGTTTCTGGACTAATCTTGGCAAGACCAAAATTAGCAATCTGATGGAAAAGAGCTTTATTGATACGAAAAAAAAAACGATAATTCAGGGACACATAGTACAACGGTTACATACAAGAAGATATACCTTTGCTTCAAATTTGGAATCAATCAATATGTTTGCCGATTTGATATCACGGTGGATAATTTTAGGATAGCCTGCAAATACATATACATACATATATATATATATATATACATACATGGGTCATACATCTAACATTCATTAAATGGAATATACATTTTTTATGAGAATATATATACCAAAATGAAATAAGCGTTTAGTTACATACGCTTAGAGGGCAACTAGCTCCTTTTGGGCCAAAAATATAAAAAAGCATGTAACTAATGAGTTGCTAAAAGCCTAAAAGAGACATGAGCTAGGAGTGTTCTGATCTGAACTATTGGGACAATAAATTTGGCATCAAAGACTTACAAGTTTGATGAAGATACGACAATCCTTTGGCAGAACCAACAGCAATCTTATATCTTGAGCTCCATTTCATAGGAGGCCGTCCTTTCCCTGTCACAAATTCAATTCCCAAAAAAATCATCATTTATTGAAAACAATATTCTGTCACAAGAAAGAGTTTAGTATCTTTCTAACCATGAAGGTGAAACTCGAGAGTTTTGTTGGGAATAAACTCATAAACAAGCAATCTGTGAGAATCTGTGACGCAATAACCGACAAGAGCAACCAAATGCTCGTGGTGAACTCGGCTAATTATATTGATCTCTGACTGAAACTCACGGTCTCCTTGAGCACTCCCAGCCTTCATTAGTTTCACAGCAATTTCGATTCTGTGAGACAAAATACCTTTGTACACGTATCCATATTCTCCACGTCCTAACAAATTGGCCTCGGAAAATCCACTGGTGGCGCTTGCTAGCACCTCGTAACTAAAAGTGCCTCGAGTGATGACTAGCCCGTGAGATGGTGAAGGAACAGACGGATGTCGTGGTGGTGATGAGGGTGGTAGCGACGTCACCACGTGAACTGATGGTCCTGATGCATTTTGTTGCTGAGGTCCACGACCTGCAGTTGCGAAACATATGAACATGAGACCTAGAAAACTTCTCTCTACACTACAAGAAAACAAGGTATATTCCAACGGCAATTCTGACAGAAAGACATTTCTTTAGAATATGCCGACGCCATTCTAACGAAATTTCACAAAAAAGCAATTTTTAATTCTTTTTCGAATTTTATCGGAAATTTTTGACAAAATTTCGAAGAAATAATATTTCCACAAAATTTTTTACTGATGAAATTTTTTTTCCAGCATTTCGTCGGAATTACCTTTTTTCCTACGAAATTCCAAAGAAAAATGTCGTCGGAATTCATCTGTTTACTTGTAGTGTATGGATTTATATAAAAGTTTGAAGATGCCTGATAAAAGTAACATAAATGTTACATGCAAGGGTGCAGATAGAGCGGCCAAAAAAAGTCAACGTAGACAAATCATAGAAATGAGGAACAATACTCAAATTAGGATTTTAATTTTGATTAAACCTTTGGGAGCAGGAGGAGCTTCATGGTCTTCTCGTCCTCTCTTCTTGCAGAAAAAACAAAACATAGTCAATACCACAAACACTGCGACTCCTCCAAAAGATCCCAACCGTTGATAACCCGCGAGAAGAAGAAAAAGACGGCGGTGGTGGATGCAAATCTTGAAGAATCCGGGGGAGTTGAAGGACTGGGATGGAGAAGGCGTGAAAGGAGACGGAATCGTTAGATAAGGTGATGGTGTAGCGCCGGGGAAAGGCGCCGATGAACTCGTTAGATAAGTAGAAGAAGAAAAAGCGGGAGAAGAGGTCTCACCTCTTGCCACCGAAAGAGTTTAAGTTTTGACTTCTGATTATTTCTGTCGGAATTTGGACATATAGCTGTTTTGGGGGTCCACATGATTCGTCCAGGTCATTTCTTCCGTATACAATTATTTTTGTATATTCTTTTTTTTTCAACTGAGTTTATTGTGATTAAAGTGGGAATGATACAACACCAATAAATGGGTGTACTATCCATTTTTGTATATTATTACTCATTCCAAAATTATTATAAGTGTCACTTAGACATATTTCACGTATATTAAAAGATGAGAGAATATATTAGTACATTATACTATCATTTAAAGTATAATTATTAAAATAAAAACGATTTTAGAAAATATATATTGGTTAGTTAAAATGGTAAAAAAATATGTGTGAAAAATTATATTGGAGATATAAAACAGTATTTTTAAAAATAATAAAATGTTAGAATGACATTTATTTAGAAACAGAGAAAATATTGTTTCTTTTATATATTTGGATTTTTATATATAGTAGAAAATAAAAAAAGATCTAAAAATTAAGAAAAGATCTAGAAGATCGAGACAAATCTGAAAAGATAAAGAAGAGGTTTGGAAGTGGAAATATTAGATGAATCTTTAATTGAAGTTGGTGAAGAGGTAGAAGGGACATAAGCTTCAATGATGGAACTTTCCTTGAGTTCATTTTTGGGATTACATTCTCCTCAAACAACTAAATCAGAGGAGACATTAAGAGCAGTGCGGTAGTGAGACAGTGGAACTTAAGTGTGCGGTTGGGAACAAGAGTTTCATATCACCTTCTGCAGTTCAGAGTGTTAGACTCAAAACAACAATGCAGGGGAACTTAAGTGTGCGGTTGGGAACATGAGTTTCAGTCCAGAGCATACGAGTGTGTAAAGCGGTTCAAGTGACATTGCCTGCAATGTCTTTTATTGCAGATTTTATTGTTCTGGAACTGGGTAATGCTGATGTGATACTAGGCGTACAATGGTTACAAACTTTGGGCAAGTGTGTAGTGGATTGGGAGAATAACGAATGGTGTTTCTGTTATAAGGGTTTGCCGGTGACTCTTAAGGGAGATCCAGATTTACATGTGCAGAATGTGTAATTAAAAACACTGTCTCAAGAGGTGTAAAAAGAGGAGAAGAGAGGCTTTCAGGCTTTGGCTATCAATGAAGTAGACACAGTTCAGTTACCTGCATTGGTGGAGCAGACACTGTTTCAGTATATGATGAAATCTTTCAGAAGCCTAAAAGCTTACCTCCAATCAGGGGCAGAGAACATTCTATTGTGCTAAATCGTTATCCACATGCTCATAAAGAGGCTATGGAGAAGCTTGTCCATGAGATGTTAGTAGAGGGATTAGTGAGGCCAAGTCAGAGTCCTTACTCCAGTCCTGTGTTACTGGTTAAGAAGAAGGATAATATACACAGGTTTTGTGTGGATTAATCGGGAAACAATGCAAAACAAATACCCAATTCCCATGATGATCAGCTTCTTGATGAGTTACATGGTGCGAAGGTGTTTTCTAAACTTGATTTGCGACCTGGTTACCACCAAATTCGGATGACTGAGAAGGATATAGACAAGAAAGCCTTCAGAACACACGATGGTCATTTTGAATTTCTGGTGATGCCTTTTGGGCTCACTAATGCTCCAGCAACAATTCAGGCTCTTATGAATGATTTGTTCAGGAAGTTTTTGAGAAGGTTTGTCTTGGTTTTCTTTGATGTCATTCTCATTTATAGCATGTTATTAGAGGAACATGTGAAGCATCTGAAGCTGGTTTTAAATGTGTTTGTGGCGAAAAAATTGTATACTAATAAGAAGAAGTGTGCCTTTTCTCAAAAAAAAGTCAAGTATTTGGGTCATGTGATAACAAGCTCAGGGGTGTCTACGGATGGTTAGAAAACTGAGGTTGTGGAGAAATGGCCTACTCCAAAGACAGTTAAAGATCTGAGAGTGTTTCTTGGGTTAACTGGCTATTATAGGCGTTTTGTGCAAGGGTATAGGCGATAGCTAAACCATTGACATAATAATTGAAGAAGGACCAGTTTGAATGGTCAGAAGTTACTCAGACAGCTTTTGAGTATTTGAAGAAAGCGATGATCTCAGCTCCAATATTAGCCTTGCCGGATTTTAACAAGCTGTTTATAGTAGAGTCTGATGCATCAGGGTTTGGGTTGGGAACTGTTCTTATGCAAAACAATCACCCTATTGCGTTTTTCAGTCGCGGATTAACTCATAAGGAACAGCAGAAACCGATATATTAACGTGAATTTATGACGATAGTAATGTCAATTCAGAAATGGAGGCATTATCTTTTGGGGGAGACGTTTCATTGTAAGAACAGATCAATAGAGTTTAAAATATCTGTTGGAGCAACGAGAGATTACTCTGGATTATCAAAGATGGCTGACACGGATTCTGGGGTATGAGTTTGATATATAATACAAGTTGGGAAGTGAAAACAAAGTTGCTGATGAGCTTTCACATATTGATTATTTAGCTTTGAATGGGGTGACAAATACACTGTTTGCTTTGACAGTACCAGCTTATCTACAGCTGCAGGATTTGTATCTAGAGATCAACGAGGATCCAGGGTAAGGCAGTGAAAAGCGGGTTTGCAGTGGTCAATGGGAGATTATTGTATACACAACAGTTGATTATTCCCTCGGATTCTCAACAGATTCCGTTGATTTTAAGGGAGTGCCACGACAGTGTTTTAGAAGGACATGCTGGGGTCTTGAGAAAATTACAGAGAATTAAGGAAACTTTCTATTGGTCCAAGATGAGAAAACGAGTGCAGGACTACGTGGCAGAATGTACGGTATGTCAAACACACAAATACTCTACATTGGCTCCAGCAGGGTTACTTCAAACTATTGAGTTACCTGTGAGAATTTGGGAAGATATGGCCGTGGATTTTACTGAAGGATTGCCGGTGTCTCAAGGGGTTAATGTCATTTTACTAGTGGTGGATCGTTTAAGTAAGTATGGTCATTTCATTACACTTAAACATCCATTCACAGCTGTGGACATTGGTAAGAAGTTTGTGAAGGAACTGATACGCCTACATGGATATCCTAAGTCGATAATATCCAACAGAGATAGGATATTCTTGAATGCATTTTGGAAGGAGTGCTTTCGTTTATCGGGGACTCATTTAAGGTTCAGTACTGTGTTTCATCCACAGTCTAATGGGCAAACAGAAGTGCTCAATAGGTGTTTAGAGACATTCTTGGGTTGCTTTGCCTCCACGCATCCGAAGACATGGTCCAAATATATTCCATGGGCTGAGATTTGGTATATTATAGACTACCATACAGCTCTTAAGTGCACGCCATTTCAGTTGATTTATGGTAGAGAACCACCAACGTTGTTGGAGTATGAAAATGGTGCTATGCATAACTATGAAGTGGAAGTGATGTTGTTGGAAAGTTGTGTAACTTTACAGGTTGTCTGAATATGAAGTCTGATGTTTTCACGTTTGGTGTGATCTTACTTGACCTTCTAACTGGTTCTAAAGATACAATACTAAAGGAGAGAAGAAAGAGCATAGCTACCATGCCATCTTTATTGTGCCATGATCATAATATAAGGGAAATAATCGATCCACGACTTAGGAATGATTATCTCCAGTGCAGGCCGTGACAGAAATGGGTTTACTCATCAAAAAATGCACCAAGTGGGACATGAATAACTGACCACTGATGCAGCAAATCTTGGATACTATTGAGTTACATTGCATAGATTAAGTACGAATGTGTAGAGGTTACTTATACTTCTAACTACACTGGAAAAGTTAAGAGGTTAATGATAGATTTAATACTCAAAACCCATGCTGCTAGAGAGAAATCATGGACTATTTTGTTATAATCCTATTACTTATAAATACTAATACTAAGAAATAATGTGACTGATATGATTCCGGTTTTATAAAAATGTTTAAATCAATCGTTCGGTTTTTTAAGTTAACCATTGCCATTTTATACGACTGATTCAAACTTATATGAGAAAAGAAATATTTGTGATTTTTATCGTAAAGTTTTACCTATAACTCCGATCGAGACGAAAAAAAGACAACACGGTTCATCCCGACCGGTTTCATATGGCAACCATGACTAATTATTAACAACATCATGCACACTCTTCTTACCTTGCCTTATGGCGGGCCGGTGGGGATGAACCGTGCTCACCATATGGCGAGCCGGTCAGGGCGAATCACGCTCGCCATATGGTGAGCGCCGGGATAGACCGCTCTCGCCATATGACGAGCCGGTGCGAAGTCTCGGCCTTCTTCTGTTAGTTCATACGGTTAAGAAGTGTTGGCAAGCCCATGTCCCATTTTTTCATTGTTTCCCAAAAGGTATTTTTTGAATTCTTATCGTAAAACTTCTTTTATACAAAACTTATGGTTTCAGAACTATCTTCATCACTTTTCAGACAAGAAACATTTTCCGAAGATTTACAGGCATTGATTCCGCCATGACCGATTTTAACCCAACAAAGTAGAGTGTATGACACAGCTAGAGATAGTAGCTGTGAGACATGGGGAGACATATACACAATCTGAACCTACAAGAGAAACACATGTGGAGACTGTTGTATCTGAGACAACGTTAGGACAAGGTATGAGAAAAAAAAGCTTCTGTCAGGTTATGTGATTATGTGGTTAACACAGTGGTTCATATTCCAATATCTTTATTTATTGTAAAATCAGATGGAAGTTCAGAAATGGAATT